GCTGGGGTTGCAACCCAGCGAGCAATAAATCGGGGCGGGGGGGTGAAATCCACGCTGGATTATTCCTCCGGCTGCCCCCAGGCTTACGGCTTTGTTTGGGGGTTGTGCTGCTTTTTATTTTGTTGTTTTTGCAGCTCAGTGGCTTCTGCTGGCGCTGTGGGATGCGACCCGCTCCAGGTTGGCTGGAGGGGGGTTTGGCTCCAAAATGAGGGTGTTCAGAGCAGGGTCAGAGGCTGATTGTGTCCTGGGAGGGGGAATTTGGCCTGGTCTGCACGAAGCGGCACGGCTTTTGGCACGGCACTGAAAGTTGGCGGCAGCTTTGATGGAGCTTTGTTTGATCAGGAGCAGGAAATGGGAGTTTTGACCGGGAAAAAAGTCTCGGTCATGTTTCGGTGGCCATCTCTGGAGCCGTGCAGCTCCAGTGTTGCTGAAGCATTTGAGTCCTCGAGCCCACAGTGAACTGTCCCCAGGATCCCACTTCCCTGCTGGAGACACCGACTTCAGGTCAACCCTTGATGCCACTGCTTGTCCCCAGGCCCCACTGGCCATCCCTGGGGACTTACGGCCTCTGGATGAGGGGACACCCATGCCTGCCACACCAGGAGCTCAGCAGGAGCTCAGGTGATATTTTTTAAGTCCATTTTTCAAGAAACCAGGAAATTCTTCCTGGTCACCACCGCAGCGTGGCAGTCGGCTCCGGGGACAAGGAGCTCCTGGTGCTCCAGGGTCAAAACCCAGCAGCACCCTCAGATGCTCTGGCCTGTGTCGAAGGCTCCTTCCTCTCCCTCTTGCGCTGTTCAATGCTGTTCGCCATTCCCCACTTGCAGGCGGTTCCCCGGAGACGCATTTTAAGCTGATTTTTCTCCGGAAAAGCTGGGAAAAAGCCTCTTGAGCAGCTGCTGAGGGGCAGGGCCGGCGAGAGCACGGGGGACGGGTGCAGGTGCAGCACGTTCACACCCGGGTCACAGCACCACTGAAGCAAAGCTGCTCAATGCAGGCATCACCATAAGCTCAGCCCAGACCCTGGGTTTTGGGGAGCTGTTGGCATTGCATCCTTCTGCTGTCACTTGCCACATCCCATGGGATGGTGGCCAACACTTTTCACTCTCCAGGACCCTCCGTTCTGCAGCCCGGAGCATGATGTTGCGACCTGGGTGCCACTGATCTGCCACTGTCCCCAACCCCAAGGACACCCTGGGGCCACTGCAGCTGTGACATCCCCAGTTTTGGTGCAAACCCTGGCCTGGAAACCCAAATCCTGGAGCCACCACAAATTCAGTGCTGCTTTGGTACCTGCTGACACCAAACTCTCTCACTCTGGCTCCTGCAGTGAATGGGGACCGCAGAAAAATCCTTCTGGGGGGATGAGAGCAATGGGGGTGAGCAGGAAGGTTTGCAGCTACCGGTCACCCAGAGCAGCCTTCAGTACTGATTCAGTTCATAATAAACATGAATATATAAAATACAATAAATAATTCAATTAATACAGCTCATCTCCCTCAAACGAACCAGGCGGCTTATCCGTATCACCAAGCACATGAGACTTTTACAAACCCACCCAGGGAGGATAAATGGGACAAATAATCCCATCTGAGCATCTCTGCGTGGTCCAGGGTGGCAGAGGCTTCCTGAAATGCAGCTCCTCAGTGTCGGAGCTGGGAGACAAAGGCTGGGAACAAGGGGCTCATGTGATCGCGCAACGGCGCGGAGCAAGGAAGCGCCGGCTGTGACAGCGGCACGGCAAGCCCCCCGTCAGCCCCGGCACCGGGCAAAAACACATGTTGGAAATTAAAAGGCATGGCAGAAATTAAAAGGCACGTCAGAAATTCTCCTGTTGCCTTCAGGTATCGCAGGGAGCCCTGCAATTGCTGGGGATGGAGACGAGGGAGATGCTCCAGGCATCTCTGCCACCCAGCAGCCCTGGGTTTCACAATGCCCACTGCAACTTGGACACCCTAATCCCAATTTGGGCTGGAGCAAAGCTGCTGCCTCTGTTTCACCCTTCCACCCTGCTCTGAGGGTAGGCTCCCTGCTTTCCAACTCCACAAATCAGCCCAGACAGCCCTGTGTAGCCCACCCCAAAGCTCGTCGTGGCTGCCGCCCCTCTTCCGCCGTGGCTCCTGCCACTGTCCAGCAGCTTGGGCACCCAAGAGGGTGAGCACTTAGGCCCAGCTCGGCCAAGGCCCTTTGGGAATGGGCTCCTTGGGAAACACCTCCTCTTCTGGCCTTCTCTGCAGAGCCGGGGGTCCCTGCCATCTCCTTATCTTGCTCCAAGCCATTGGTGACCTGGGTGATGTGTGCCCGGGGAGCAGCTGTGCTGCCACTGCCCACCCTGGTGCCCACGTTCACCTGGCTGCCCGTGGCTGGCTGACCCACTGATCTCCATCACCTCTTCAGGTGGGAAAAAACCCTTTTTAGCTAAATATATACTTTCCAGGAGCCATCTGGAGAGGATGGACCTTCCCGCCTGACCCCAGCCAAAGCTGGGCCTGGGTCAAGTTCGCACCATAGCCGGGGTGCAGGAGCCCCCTTGTAGCCACACCCCCCAGCCCCCGACAGCAACAAAGCAGCTCCCATACACGCAGGAAGATGGAGCAGGGAGAGTCCGATGGGGGGAGTCCCCAGTGGGTGCAGCCCTGGGATGCTCGGGGTGGTGGAGAGCGTCCCCGTGCTCCCATGGGCCACACACACCTGCAAAGACCGGGGGCTACCAGCTCCCGTGGCTAGCTGTCCCTGTGCTACTAGTCCCACAGGTAGTAACCCCCATAGCTAGCAGCC